GGGGGGGGGGGGGGGGGGGGGGGGGGGGGGGGGGGGGGGGGGGGGGGAGGTGGGCCGGGGCGGACACCAGGGGGGGACATCACACCTCGCGTACATCCGTGCTGATACATGTTTGTTGCAGCCCCCCGTTGGCTGCGCGTTCGTTTCACGGAGAGGAAGTACCGCCTTCGCCAAGATGGCGACGTCGGCAATCGTCACAAAACGGAGACGGCTGGCGACAACACTGACCTCAATTCTTGCACAACGCGTTGTCTTTTGAAAAATCATACACACTCTCTCGCTCTGTCTGTCTGTCTGTCTGTCTGTCTGTGTGTGTGTCTCTGTCGCTGTCTCTGTCTCGATAAATGTACCGCAGGGGCGGAAGCGATGGAGGGTGTTCCCACCCCCGCCGCCGCAGGCCAAGCCCAAGGCGGATCCGATGGCCCGGGGGAAAGGAGCCGACGTGCTCTCGCTCGACGAGATGATCGGGGACGGCAAGCCAGGGGCCCTCGTTGACGTCGTGCTCGAGCCGGGACAGGTGGGGATGTGACGCGCAATCTACGGTATTGCTGTGCTCATTCATTTTGTCGCGATATTGCATCCCCAAAAATGAAGATTGATCAACAGCCACCGGAGAAAACGAATCACACCAACCATGGACATTGCAACCTATGTGGAGTCCCCACAATTGAAAATTCGTAGATACCCACAATGACAAGAACACATCCAACCATGATCAACGGACGTGCAATACACGTAGTATTGGTGGACTGTTTTCAAGCTATTGTTTTCCCGAACCTGAAGAATATATAACATGACCAAGAACACAACCAAAAACAACCCACCCACACTAAGTGTAAGTGTATTGATACACGTCCCGGCGCCATCCTGTCCATACCTCACCTACCCACACCCTCCCACTCCACAGTGAAGAGAGCTAGCTTGACCCCGCCGTATCCACTGCCCACCGTACACACGAATAATCAGACTCCGGTGCGCGAGGCACACGTCCTTTTGGCCATCGGAGAGGAGGAAGCGGCCTCTGTAGCCGTCTCCTTTCTCCGTTGACGGACGGACGTGTGCCTCGCTCACTGGCGTCTGTTTCGGGTTTACGGCGGGCAGTGTTTACGGTGGGGTCAAGGTACTGTAGCTCAGTGGAAGGGTGCGGGTAGGAGAGGGAGGGACAGGATGGCGCCGGGACGTGGCTATTAAATATACTGGTATATTGTTGGTAAGGTAATGCTATACAGGCGCATATGTACCTACATCCAAGAGGGCATAATCGCCCGCAGAGCATTTCTCAGCTGTTGAAGATCTGGCGGCGATGCCGCGTTGATGGCGCAAACACGGGTGTGCGTGCTAACACCAACGACCGGGCCGGTGGTTTCCTAGGCCGTGGATGAGCTTTGCAGATGCGTTGCATAGCCGCTGAGCTTGATTTTCATGTCCGCGGGGAAGTTGTCCAGGGACCATGTCCCATTTGGTAGCGTCTGGTTGGCCCACGTCCAACGTCAGTAGGAAGCAGGCCGCGACGCTGTTAGGCTGCACCCAAGTAAAGTATTCAACTTCACAGCCTTCAAGGCTAGGTGCTCATCAGCAGTAAGCATGAAGACTTGTGCGACCATTGGAAGTATCTTCAACTGGGCGAGTTATGCCAGCGGTCAAATCGTATCAACGATTTCTTGATGACTTTTAAAACTTTCCCGTGCTGCTCGATGCCACAGCAGGTGTTGTTTCTCTAGAGTGCCCAGGCTCGTGTTGGATACCAAATGGTGATTGTCAACGAGTAGTTGCAGGCGTTTCTTTGGGGGGGCGAAAGGGTTTGTAGAGAGGGGTGTGATGTTGAAGGTGGTTGCTCTCGTAGTCCGTCTTTGTAGTTGTGCCTTTCCTGAAGTGAGTCTCACGACGCACTGCCGCCCCCGTGTTTTTCATATGCATGCTGCCCGCCATTTCGGGGGCAGCCGCCCGTGAAAAAGAGAGCGGTACCCCCTCCCCACCCTCAGGAAGTTGATGGAACCCCCGCTTGATGAGTTCTGGCGTTTGGGATAAACGAGGGTGCAAGGTCGCCACGCGGAATGACGAACACCCCTCCCCCCTCCCGTTCCTTTCTATTTTCTGGTACACGCCTCGCTACATTCAAACACACACACGCACAAACAGCAGGCACCACAGTGTTGCACCGTTTCAAAGGGGAGACCTCGTCGACACTCCGACTACCAAAGGCACGCGAAGCCTGATCCTCTCCGGACCCCCCGTTGCTCTGTCCTCTCGAGGACGCGTGGTATAGCAACTACGGCATAACATGAGTGCCCCCCCCCCCTCTGGCCTCTACGTTTCTGCACGTCCCGGTAGGATTTTCACTGACGACCGACACCGTCACCAGATAACCATAAGGCACGCATGGCCTGATCCTGCCCCCCCCCCCCCCCCCCCCCGGCGGGCTCTGGTGAAAGGTCCTCTTTGTTCCGGCGAGGTTTTCCCACCCGAAGGACACCGCCACCCGCATGTCTCAAGACGACACCGACCCGTCCGTGCACCTGACGGTGGGCGTCTATACGCACATCTGGGGGCTCAACTACGCCACGCTGCGGTCGTACTCCTTGTCGAGGTCGGGGAAACAGGTACGTACTGTCTGTCTGTCTGTCTGTCTGTCTGTCTGTTTGTGTGTCTGTCTGCCTGTCTGCCGGCCTGCTTGCGTGCCTGCCTCCCTGTTTCTCTGTCTCTCTGTTCCTCGATGGACACTATTGTCGGTACCTACGCTGTCTTGTAGGCGCTCAGAGCTATGCCATGATGAAAATATGCCAAAGAATATATGGCAAACGTCCAATACCTCAGAAATGGTCATCTCGGAATTTTTTTGATGCACCAGCTGGGGTAACGAAGGACGAATTCCCCACCTTTCCAACTTCTGTGCGTCATGTTTCTGTCGTCTCATCTGTCCTCTTTCAATGTTAGTGTCAATGCCAACGTGAGTTCAACCGCCAATGTCGACGTTGACGTCAACGCCAATATCAATGCCAATGTCAACGTCCATATCCATGTCAACGTCAACTTTATTAAGTCATATCCGATGTCACGATGGTGGCAGGACGGAGTGAAGCGGCCGCTCGAGAAGTCCTTGGGCGAGCCGGAGTACTGGAGACTGTTTACCGCGCTACCGCTCGGTTTCCTGGGAGAACGCGTCACGTCCGGCTTGACCAGGTTCGTACACACGTCATGCCATCTCTCTCCCCTCCATGTCCTTCTCTCTCTCCTCCCCCTCTCTGGCCGTGAAGATAGTGCGCCCCAGGCGCAAGTTCCCGCGACGCGTGACCATGTAGCGATATGCACTTATCCCTTACACCAACCGTAGCCCTCACCCTGCTGGTACGGCTTGTTGTGACTTTACCACCGTGTTCGCATCCGTGTCGATGCAATTCCCCGCTCATTCTCAGTCCTCGCTTGGACATCCTTTGGCTGCGTCGCCAGGTTTTAGGTATGGTATCGTACCCAACTGTTGACCTAGCCGCTGTGCAACATGTGGGAGTGCGCTGACTTCTCTTCCCGACAACTTGCAACACCCTGCCTGTCCCGGTGGCTACCTTGTTCCTCTTAATTGTTGGGACCCCAAAAACGACCACGGTATGTCCCGTGGTACAAAAAGGTGGTCGCAAATGAAGAAGGCCCAAGTGGACGAGATGATGAGCACCGCGACGCGACTGGAGCGTGACCTGCAACCGGGCCGGTGGGACGAAGGAGTTGCCGACGAGGAGGCGAGTTTCGATATTCGATCCACGGGTCTCGGTGTGTTTCCATGGACACGAAGTACCCATATGAAATCACTCATATCCAACGGGTCTCTGGTGTTTCCATTTATGCAAAATACAACACCTCGAGTTTCGATCGACCGGTCTCTTTGTGTTTCCATGTGCACGAAGAAAGTACAAGATACAAGGGCGGTGGACGCGGGGGGCTACCGCCCCCCTCGTCCCCCGGTTGAGAGTCGATGCGCATACGAAACGAACGGTATAACCTATTTGTTATGTGATGAGGTAAGCGAGCAGTTTTTGTACAAACTTGAAACACATACCAACTGGGACGGGTGTTCGTTACAGCAAAAGAACCATAGACGCAGGTTCGAAGTCGAGAGAAGCGTGCGTCATCATGCTCTCATGCTCTCCGTATACACTTAGGCTACCGGCTCCTCTGAAACAAAATTACAAGTGTTGAACAAAGGTTGAAGCATGTGGCGCACACCGTGTGCACCTGTCTGTCTGTGTGTGTGCAAGTGTGACTTGTACCATATAGCTATATTAGCCGTCTGACTACAGCAACATACAGCAGTCATCGTTTTACACACATACACATGCACCCCGTGTCGTCTCCCGACTACAGCAGAGAGATCCAGCGCACAGAACTGATGAGAGACATGAGCAAAATGCATGTGATACGTGTTCCGAGTTCCGAGAGCCAGTTGCCGTCTTCCGTCTTCTCATTTATTTCTGGAAGAAATAATTATCGGAATATCCTGCAGTTACCGTTCCTTTGACATTTTTGGGAGAGATGAGATGCTTGCCCGCGCGGTCGCACGCACATATTGCAAGTTAGCAGTGTTACACAGCAGTCCCTAGCACACGATGGGCACATGATGGATGGTGAATAAAGCGCTTACGTACCATTTCGTAGTAAGCAGACATGTGCGGGCTATGCATATGTGGTTGCTACATTAATTATAGACATGTTCCGAGTTTTGTGATAACTTCAAGTTCTCAAAAATACCCCGAACACAGTTCCGTCCAGTAAGATCGCTTATTCTTTACAGTCCCGAGCGGAGGGGTCCGAGGTGGAGACGCAGGTGCGACGACGTAGTTTTGAGCTGTCCCGCCGGCGCGTGCAGCTCGCCCGTCGCTGGACGCCCGGAGCCCCGAGCGGCGGCGTCTCGCTGAGAGAGGGCTCCCGGCGGGCTTCGCGGAGGGAGAGGGCGGGCGGCGGCCCCTGCGTCGCGCGCCAACATTTGACGCTATCGTGTCGACTTGAGAGTAGGCGCAATCCCTCCGCTTCGCTCTCAGGCGCCGAATTGAGGCCTGCGGTGCGCCCTCAGCCTGAGCTAAAATTACCCACCTCTATGGAGCGTTTCCATGAATGCGAAGAAAGTGCAGCGCGTCGAATTACGATCGACGCGTCTCTTGTGTTTCCATGAATATGAAGTAGTTAAGACACTTGGAGCGTTCCAGCATCAAACGAAGAAAGTGCAACACGTCGAGTTTCGATCGACGGGTCTCTTGTGTTTCCATGCATACTTACGAAGTACGGACTATGACTAAACACGCCGAGGTTTCGATGTGCAAGAGTATGGTGTATGGCACGTCGGGCTTCAATCGAGGGGTTTCCTGTTCTTCTATGTAACCGAACAACGTGTATCACGTTTAAGTTTATTAGCCCAAGGTGTACCGCGAGTTTCATTTTTGGCTTGCGTATGGACCGAGCCACCCCCTCTCCTTTATTTTGCTGACCGGCGTCTGCCCGCTTTTTGCGTTCTTCTGGGTTCAGAAGTTGTGCGTGTTTTGGGAAAACAGTCCTCCGTATTTGCACTGGGACCTGCAAGTTCTCCACACCGGTTTGTAGTGCGGGCAAGAAAAAGCACGCGAAACCCCATACCGCGTCCTCAGGGTTGTGGAGAAGAGGGACGGCAATGGGAAATTAGAGGCCTGCGATCAGCAGATATACGAGGACTCCACCACTTGCAAGATCTCGCGCACCGTTCTGAACCCAAGCTCTGCCAGCTCTGCCTAACGCCTGTCGGAGGAAACTCC